CCAATATTCTGACGTGGGATGCGGGCGTCTCAGGCAGTGGCTTAACCCACTGTGCCACAATACCCATCCCTTGAAATCCCCTGTTTTATTTTATTTTATTTTTGACAGATAGAGTTAGTCTGTTAGATAGTGAGAGAGAGAGAGACAGAGAGAAAGGTCTTCCTTCCGTTGGTTCACTCCCCAGATGACCGCCACGGCCGGCCCTGCGCTGATCCGAAGGCAGGAGCCAGGTGCTTCTCCTGGTCTCCCATGGGGTGCAGGGCCCAAGGACTTGGGCCATCCTCCACTGCACTCCCGGGCCACAGCAGAGAGCTGGACTGGAAGAGGAGAAACCGGGGCAGAATCCGGTGCCCATATGGGATGCTGGCGCCTCAGGCGGAGGATTAGCCTAGTGATCCGCAGTGCCGGCAAAATCCCCTGTGTTTAAATTTATTTATTTGCAAGGCAGAGAGACAGAGACAGAGATCTCCCATCCACTTGTCCACTCCCCAAATGCCTGTAACAGCTGGGCGTGGCCAGGCCGGAGCTGGGAGCTGGGAGCTGAGGGTTCAATCTGTGTCTCCCACGCGGGTGGCAGGAACTTGAGCCGTCACTGCTGCCTCCCAGGACACAGAATTCTAACTGTTTTTTCCCTAGAACCCCATTTCCATTTTGCGCTGGGCCCCACGAATGATGCCAGTCCTGCCTTGAGCCTTACGCCGTTCTTTGCTTTTGTGTCGCTTCAAAAACGTCTTGGGCAGAGGGTAGCTTGGGTCGTGGGCCCTGAGCAGCAGTTGCCCTCGGTCCCCTCAGGGCACAGAGAGACCTGTGTGGAGAATGAATTTGCGGGTGTTACACTGGGGCCTGGAGCTGTGGCGTGGCAGGTAAAGCCTCCGCCTGTGGTGCCAGAATCCCATATGGGCACTGGTTCTAGTCCCGACTGCTCCACTTCCAATCCGGCTCTCGGCTGTGGCCTGGGAAAGCAGTAGAAGATGCCCAAGTGCTTGGGGCCCTGCACCTGCATGGGAGACCCGGAAGAAGCTCCTGGCTTTGGATAGGCCCAGCTCCGGCTATTGCAACTGTTTAGGGAGTGAACCAATGGGTGGAAGACCTCTCTCCCTCTGTCTCTCCCTCTGTAGCTCTGCTTCTCAAATAAGTATTAAAAAAAAAAAAAAAAAAAAAGCAGGTGTTAGCATCAGAGCCTTACTTTCCCTCCCTAAAGTGGGTGTGGTGATGAGAGTCCCGCCCCATGATGATCACGGGAGCAAATCTTCAAGTGGCTCACCCGCACGAGCAGGGCTCTGTACAGGGAACACCCAAGGCCGGGGCTCTGCATCCGAGAGATTTAGGAGGGTGTGCTTGGGGAGGTACGAAGGCCTTCTGTGTCACTTGAGGCCCTGAGCACCAGGAGGCCAAGCCCAGGGGCCGTCTCTGCTGAGCTCCCTTTGACCTGCACCACTCTTAGTCTTGTTAGTGGTGTCAGGTTGAAGGAGCCGGCATGGCATCAGCTACAGGCCGTGGACCCGGAGCCAGGATCTGGTGGCTGATGGCCATGTGACCCTGGCACCAACTCCCCGTTGGGAGCAGAGACAGCAGCCTGTGGCGCGTGGAGGAGGCCTTCTCCCCATTCTTACCTGCCATGCTGCCTCTGTGAGTATGGGTGGGGCAAGACCCCGGGCCTCACCCCACAGCTCCCTCCGGGCCTGCTCGCAAGGGCCTCGCTGTGACACTGCAGAAGTGCATTGGCCCCATGTGGCTCAGTCCGGTGCTGGTCCAACTCCCCAGATGACAAGCAAACCCTAATCTCCGTGCGCCCCACGCCAGGGTGTCTTGCTCGAGGTGCACTTAGCAGTGGGAACTCAGTCATCTTCAAGATGCGGTTGAAGACCTTGAAATAGACATGGATGCTGCATTCCTGCCTCCGCCTGTGCCGTGCCTGGCTCCCGCCTTCCCTGCCCGCTCACCTCCCACCACCTGCCCGTTGTCTCTTTGTTCAGCACGGGCTGTGCCAGGTGCGGGGGGACAGTGGGGCAGGCTGCGCGTGCGTCCATCCGGCTACAGTCAGGGAGGGCTCCTCAGGGAGGTGACGCCGAGCCGGGTTTCCCAGAGGCCCATCATTACCTCTGTGAGTAGGCCCCGATCCCTCAGCTTCCCCACTGTCCCAGCTCTCAGTGGGTGCTCCTGTGGCCCCTGGGGGCAGCAGCTAGGTTTGCTGTGTGAGAAGCTGAAGTGTTTGCCCAGCCACTCCGTTTGGCCTGAGGCTCTAGACCAGAATCGCGTGTGAATGTGGCTGTATATGCGTACACCGTGGCGATGCCAAAGCTGGTTTGGTTTTTTAATTACATTTTAAAAAATTGACTGGCCCAGAAGATTTGTGCGTGTCTCTGGGGTCCGGTGTGATAACCAGTAGCTGTGTACAGTGATCAAATCGGGGTGATCGGCAATCCCAACTCTGCAAGCGTCGGTCATCTCTTCTAGTTCTTGTGACGTAAGTGATAAGGTGTGGTGGCTGCAGCTGCCCCAAGCTGCCCAACGCTAGGACTAATTCCTCCTGTCTTCAATGATTTCCTGTTTGCTTTGCCACTTAGAGACCTCATAACTCTCCGGAGACTGGTAATTGTGTTCATGCTATCAAAGCCTTCTTTCTTCCAAAGCTGAAGAGAGACGTCAATGTAGAATGCACCATTCTCTTTTAATAGCATTTGTCTAGCCATCAATTAACAGCCCAACTATCCATCCAACCATCCACCCACCCACCCATCCACCCACCATCCGTCCATTATCCATCCATCCATCCATCCACCTGTCTATCTCTCCATCATCCATCCAGCTACCCACCCATCCCTCCATCCACCTGTCTATCCATCCATCATCCATCCATCCACCCATCTATCTATGCATTCATCCATCTGTCTATCTGTCCATCATCCATCCACCCACCTATCCATTCATCCACCTGTCTATCCATCCATCGTCCATCCATCCACCCAGCCAGCTACCCATCCATCCATGCTTCTACCGAGTGAGCCCTTACCTGGACTCCCTGTTCCCCTGTGGTTCCTTCCCGAGCCGGGGTGACCAATGGTGGGGACATTTTGGGGACTCTTGCACGCGACCTCTCACTTCATGGAAAGCGTCTCAGGCCGTTTGTTCTCTCTCCTTCCCAGGAGTGCGAGCCATCTCTCAACAGCAACGTCACAGCCTTTGCGCTGAAGGCCAGAGTCGTCTACCCCATCAACCAGAAGTTCCGGGTGAGAATTCTGGGCCCCGAAGTGGAGACACAATGAATTCAGTCACGCAGCGGGGATCGGGGTGCGAGCGGGGGATTGAGGGTGCAATTCTGGGTCCTGTCCAAGGGTCTTAGGGCTATGGCAGGTCGTTTTAACGGGGACCACTTTGCAGCTTTGCATTGTAGCAAACACTTGGGCCAATCCGTTTTCTGACAGTGTTTGCAGGGACGGGGCCTGCCCGTGGTATACCCAGGTTAGGACTTCCCACAGCTGCCTCTCTAGGTAGGGCAGCTTCCACCCTGCCCTTCCCACACGAATGCGGACACTGATGGTGACGTCACGGACGTCTTTGTTCTCGGAGCCCTGCGTGGACGCCAGCAGCCAGCGCGCGCTGCGCCCTCGAGTGGGGCTGCCTGCGCCAGGCTTTGCAGCCTTGAGGTGTCCCTGTGGGGTAAATGGTGTTGGCTCCGCGCTACACAGAAGGAAGAGGCTAAAGATCTGGCCAGGCCACTGGTTGTGCGTGCCACACCTGCAGCCAGAGGTCGCCTCCAGGCTGGGAGTTTTGCAGGGAGCTGTTCCCCAGGGCTCCAGGGAGTCGCGGCCTGTGAGGTGCCCTGGGATAAGGATGTCAGGAAAACACTACCCGCCCCCTTGGTGGTCAGGAGGATGCGCTCTGGAGGCGCTGACTTCATCCTAACTCCCTTCGCAGCCATCTCCTCTGTGGCTGTCTCCTGGCTCCTCTGTGCCTCAGTTTGTTCATATGGGAAATGGGCGTAATGGTCTCCAGAGTTACTTTTGAAGAGAGCCACACATATGGAAGGCTCTGAGAATTCCTGCACCAAACAGATGTCCCTTCTGGGTTAATGCAGCCTGTCCCAAGGTGCAGAGCTTCCCCAGGGCACCCTCGTGGGAGCAGTGCTGACTGACTGTAGCTCCTGCAACTGCTCCCCGGCGCCCACTCTGGGAACCTCGTCACCCACTGCTGAGCAGCCCAGTGGGTGGGTCCCATGGGGGTCCTGGGCTCACGCACGGTCAGGAGCATCAGCCCCTCGCAGGAGGCGCCCTGGCCTGGGCGGGTCTGAACACACGTGAGCTTGCAGGACCGCCTGGGACAGACCAGGCAAGGGAGAGCTCCTAGGGACTCGGGCTCTGGGCTCCGCGGCTGGAGACGGTGTAGCCCAGCGGACAGTGTAGCCCAGTGGACGGTGTAGCCCAGCGGACAGTGTAGCCCAGCGGACGGTGTAGCCCAGCGGACAGTGTAGCCCAGCGGACGGTGCAGCCCAGCGGACAGCAGATGCGGTGTCTCGGATGGGGAACCGGGGTCTGGCGGGCCCCAGAGTAAGAGGAGGCCCTCAGCCGGAGCCAGCCCGGTGCAGCTGGGTGAGTGCCTGGAGCTGCAGGGAGCTGACACGCGATGAGCTCTCTGGCTGTGCCGTGTGCTAGGCTAGGATGCAGGCAGCCATGGTGGGGTCCCTGGGGACCGGTTCCTTGATTAGGAGCTGGGAGCCTGCGGGAGGCGGTGTGGAGCCGAGGTGAAGGCCTGGGCAGGACTTGGGCGTCAGAGCAGGTTGTGGACCAGGGATGCCGCATCCCAGACCTGAGATGCTTGGATGGGAGTGTGGATAGACCTGCCGGGGGGGGGGGGGCGGGCTGCAACGGCCAGGGCAGAGTTGGAGGCCGAGTGAGGGGCGCACGTGGGTGCTTGAGGAACAGAGCCAGGTCAGGAGCCTCTGGGTGGGAGCCTGGAGCGGAGAGGCTGCCTTCACGGGGACAGCTGAGCTGTGATTGGGTCCTGGGGTGTGGCCATGGCCGTGACCCTGGGGCAGAAGCCCTGTAGTGCACGCTCAGAGGCCTGACCATCTGCTCCAGCCAGGCCAGGCCTCCCCGGGAGCCCCCTGGGTCTGGTCTCAGGTCGACTTGCCCAACAGCCCCGGACCGCCGCAGGCACTAACAGTGACATGTCCCTCCTGCTGCAGCCCCTGGCCGACGGCTCCTCCAACCCGTCTCTGCATGAGAACTTGAAGCACGTGGTTCTGCCGCACCAGCCCCTGGAGGCTTCACCTTCCAGCAGCCTGGCCAGCCTGAGCCAGGCCGAGAAGGATGACGGGAGCTCCTCGTCCAGCGTCCACTCGGCCGCCAGTGACGACAGGCTGCTCAGCCGCACCTTCCTCCGCGTGGACAGCTTCCCCGAGCTGCTGGCCTGCGAGAGGTGAGGGGGTGGCCGGTTCTCTCCGAGAGGCCCAGAGAGGGTTAGAGATTCAACCGCGGACACATGGCAGCCTAGTGCGGGATCCCAGATGCGTTTGTCACGGCCGTGTCAGCTGGCATTGCGGGGATAGTTTGGGCTGATCTAGAAAGATGGGACAAGGGGCCCGTGCAGAGTGACGGGGGAGCCCTGGGCCTTGCATGGGAGCCGCCAGCACTGACCAAGTGCCCCTGAGTAGTGGGGGCAGAGGCCAAGCCCCCTGCAAGGATTAATGAGATCCTGAACACCAGGACCAAGTCCCTGTTGCTCACTGCTGCCCCCTGTTGTCCGATGAGGGAATATTGGACGGTTCAGAGATCAATAAACCCTGAAGGTTGGGGGGTGGGGGCTCTGCTAGGCTGGGCCAGCTCTGGCTTACAACGGCAGTTTTGCAGCATTTGGACTTAGAGCATTTGTCAGTTTGGATGGGAGTGTGGTCATTTACGGCTCATACCGAAGACTTTGCTCATGCCCTGCCACTTGTCTACCTGCATAACCTCCACTTGATTTCTCCGAGCCTGTCTTTCCCAAGTCAGTTTCTTCATCTGAGAAATGGGCATGTGGCCGTCTCCCTTGCAGCAATGACGAGGGATTACTGAGGCGGTAGACGTGACAGGGTCAGAGGAGGAGAGAGGACCTCCGTTTCTCTCGCCTTCCGTCCCAGGCTGCGGGGTCTTTGACGCCATCTGCCCCCTTCTGGTCATCACTGGGTTTCAGACGGCTCACTGACTCCCTTCTTGAGGCCGCTAGGTGGGCGTTGGGGGCCTCGGCCTGCGTCAGGGCTGGCATCTCCAGCCCGGGTGCTCTGGGCGTTGTGGAGCAGGGATGTCGCATCCCAGACCTGAGATGCTTGGAGCCAGAAGCATTTGGGATTTCAGATTTTTTTGAATCTTGGAATTTTTACGTGTTATTATATAAAATATTTTGGGGATGGGATCCAAGTCTAAATGCAAAATTCACTTAGGCTTCGAATGCACAGAGCCGGGAGATGACATCATACGATGCCTTTAATTAAACTTCGTGGAGCAATGAGGTTGCGTGGTGTGGAATTTTCCACTTGTGGCAATAGCTTTGCCCTCCCAAAGCTTTAGTTTGGGAGCACATTGAAGTTCCAGTGGCTCCACCCGTGACCCCACCCTCAGCCCCCATTGCAAATATCCTGAACGCCTTCTCTTCCTCTCGGCTTCTCAGTGTGGACGTCGACCTGTGTGTGTACAGACTTCACCTCCAGACGCTGCTGTGTGTGGACGCGGCTCTGCGGCAGGAGGCGCGCATGGTAGGTGGGGTGTGCTGCTGCCGCCCTCCCCAGGGCACGGCCACTGGGGGACGGGGCTGTGTGTCCGCCGAGTCCCACGCCCTCGAGAACCTGACATCAATGAGAACGGGAGTAGGGGCTGAAGCAGCTCCCAGCCTCCTCTCCTAGGGGAGACGGAGAGAGAAGAGATTTTTTTTGACAGGCAGAGTTAGAGAGAGAGACAGAGAGAAAGGTCTTCCTTCCGTTGCTTCACCCCATAAATGGGCGCTGTGGCCGGCGCACTGCGCCGATGTGAAGCCAGGAGCCAGGTGCTTCCACCTGGCCTCCCATGCAGGTACAGGGCCCATGCACTTGGGCCATCCTCCACTGCACTCCTGGGCCACAGCAGAGAGCTGGCCTGGAAGAGGAGCAACCGGGACAGGATCCAGTGCCCCGACCGGGACTAGAACCCGGGGTGCCGGTGTTGCAGGCAGAGGATTAGCCAAGTGAGCCGTGGCACCGGCAGAGAGAAGAGATTTAAGGGGGACGTATTCTAAAGGGTTGGCCATTGTGCTGGCGGGGTGCAGGAGCACTCTCTTCATGGAGGTGTGCCATCTGTCTGGGAGCCGTACATGGGGAGTCCCTTGGGGCTCGCCCCGACCCAGGGATCTGGTGCACAGTTAACCCCGCCCCACAGATGAGGACCGCAAGGCACACGGGAGGGCCGTGCCCAGAGTCACAGGGCTGCAGACGTGGAGCTGGGAGAGGAAGTTCAGTGCTTCCCTCGGGCCACTGCTCCCTGCTTTGGGCAAGGAGGAACCCCAGCGGGGACGTTACGCAGCAAGGTTCCTGCCCGCAGGTGCACCTGCTCCCTGGTGGTTCAGCCCTGGCTGGAGCCACGGGAAGCCCGGAGGAGCTGGCCCTGCAGCCGAGGGCTGCTGGGTGCGTGCAGCGTGCTGCCTGATCGCCTGACCCAGGAACGACACAGCTGTCACCGTGGGAGCGGGGTACGCGGGTTGTGGAGACAGTCCCGGCAGGAGAGGGCCCTTCTTGACCCGAACGGTGTCTCATCCGTGCAGCTGGAGCTGTGCTAGGTGGCCTGGCTTACCTCTGTCCCTCTGAGTCCACGAGGAAGCAGCTCCACCTTGCATTTTTGGGGACTTGGGGACCCCCGCACCGAGGGGCACCTCACAAATATGAGTTGAGTAGGCGGCGCCGCGGCTCACTCGGCTAATCCTCCGCCTTGTGGCTCCGGCACCCGGGATCTAGTCCCAGTCAGGGCGCCGGATTCTGTCCCGGTTGCCCCTCTTCCAGGCCAGCTCTCTGCTGTGGCCAGGGAGTGCAGTGGAGGATGGCCCAGGTGCTTGGGCCCTGCACCCCATGGGAGACCAGGAGAAGCACCTGGCTCCTGCCATCGGATCAGCACGGTGCACCGGCCGCGGTGGCCATTGGAGGGTGAACCAACGGCAAAAGGAAGACCTTTCTCTCTGTCTCTCTGTCCACTCTGCCTGTCAAAAAAATAAAAAATAAATAAAAATAAAAAAATAAAAATAAAAAAACAAATATGAGTAAGTGAATGAAGCAGAAATGGAACATTGTTCAGAAGCATCATGGAGTGCAGTCTGTGACAGGCCCCTCCCGTGATTGACAAGTCCAAGGTCATTCCCTTGACCAAGAGCTACAGGTGCTCCAACAAGTTCGTAGGAAAATGGAATTAAAGATCCGTTTGTTTTGATGTAAAAGCCTTTTAATCTATGTCTAGTTTTTTCCATTATATGCATTTACCATGAACATTTAAAAATAGATCTTTTTTAAAAAAAATTGTTTGAAAGGCAGAGTTACAGAGAGAGAGAAAGAGAGGTCTTCCATCCTCTGGTTCACTCCCCAAATGGCCGCAATGGCCGGAGCTGGGCTGGTCTGAAGCCAGGAGCTTCTTCCCAATCTCCCACATGGGTTCAGGCGCCCGAGTAGTTGGGCAATCTTCTACTACTTTCCCGGATGCATTACCATGCTGTTGGATGGGAAGTGGAACAGCCGCAGCCGGGACTTGAACCAGTGCCCATATGAGATGCTGGCACCATACGTGGTGCCTTTACCCACTATACCACAGTACCAGTCCCTCCGTGAACTTTTCAAAGAACCCTCTAATGTTGGGGCCTCGCTGTGGCACAGCAGGTTAACGCCCTGGCCTGAAGCGCCAGCATCCCATAGCCACCGGTTTGAGACCCGGCTGTTCCACTTCCGATCCAGCTCCCTGCTGTGGCCTGGGAAGGCAGTGGAAGTTGGTCCAAGTGCTTGGGCCCCTGCACCCACGTGGGAGACCTGGAGGAAGCTCCTGGCTCCTGGCTTCAGATCAGTGCAGCCCTGGCCTTTGTGGCCAATTGCGGAGTGAACCATCGGATGAAAGACCTCTCTCTGCCTCTCCTCTCTCTGTCGGAAC